AGTCATTTAGTTAAGAAAGAGAAAGAGTATATGTAGGAGAGCCATGCTTCGGCACGAATGGTTCGGCTCGACCGGAGCGATACCACGGGCTAACAGAAAACTGGCGTGAAAATACTACTTACAGCGTTGTGTTTCGCCGTGTGAGGTAACCGGAGGCCCAATCCTTCCCGTCCCATAATCCCAAAATCTCCAAAATCCTAATTCCTAAAAGTTCGGCAACGCACTCGTAGCTCCTCCGTTTTTGCCGACCTATCTCAAAAAAAAAGAAAATTGCAAGCACAATATAATTCCTGAAGATCTATCCATTGACAACAAAAGCGATCGGGATTTTTCACAGAATAAATCTACTTACTTATTTTAACATATAATGTAGGTATTTATGCTTTTGGAAAAGTATCTGAAGCATACGGAGGAACCGACAGACAGACATAACGACTCTATAAAGGTAATGTTTTTTGGCATTTGATTTCGGAGTACCTACTAAAAAATGCAATTAAATGATAAATTTAAATTAGTTAAATTAGCCATGTACGCTATGCAAATCAAATTTTAATTGGGATGATGTCGTGGTATGAAAATTAAAAATATTATTAATCTGTCAGTTAGATTAATTTCAAAATATTAGACAACCACCAATGTTTTTATTAATTGTAAAATAAAAACATAATATTAAGATACCCGAATGTTAAGTTAGTGACAGGAGGTTGCTACTTCACCACTCAGTATAAAATGTAATGGGTTGTGACGTCACACGATATTTTATATTTGCTGACCCAAGACGGCAATATAAACAAAAATTACTAGTCATTCCTATCTTATACACAAACTGAAAAGACATTGTACTCAACGAACAATCCAAATTCAAACGAACTAGTAACTTAGTAAAATCGAACTTGCATTTTAAAATAATATCATTAACATTTTACATATTTTTTCTTCCATATGTACATATAATCCTTCCAAATAACAAATTCACACATCTGTGTAACATAACTTTGAACTGACACAAATATGCAATTAATATACATTTTGAGCGCTAAAGTTTTTTAAACATGACTATAAAAATGTTCTAATGTAATTTGACAAGTCATTGACAACTTTAACTGTCACAGTGTAATTCGATACTCATCAAATAATACCGATTAAATTAATACTGTTGCACATTGCTATCATTTCCGTGGTGATTTTATTTCTTAATTAACTGTCTATATAATATATTTTTTATCGTAACCAGGCAAATCCTTCATGTGCCGTCTATCTTTTTTTGTTTACATAATTAAATAATAACTATCCTTACACGTACGTACTAAGTTTATGAAAATAATGACTTACTGACGTTTTACGTTATTCAAGTGAAAAAAACTCTACTAGTTTTGCCCTGCCGACGCGCCCATTCTCTGATTTCGGAAGAAAGACTAGGGTCTGTGGTACCTCACTAAAACTACTCCGTAGTGATTATCATCAGCGCTAATAACGTTTACTGGGTCTTCTCAGTAGACGCACCCCAAATCCATACAGGTCCAAGACCTCTAACTAAAGCTACTTCGTGATGACGACCATCAGCGCTAATAAGGTGCACTATGTCTTCTCAGTAGACCCACCCCAAACCCATACAGGTGCAAGACCTGGTTCGGCACATACCAACTGACACAACCCTGTTGCTAACTTCTTGTTAACTCAAGCATAACATTTAAAATTCTTTATATCTATTCATCCGTTTTTGTGCTCACCATTAAAATTACTAGACCGCTTTAATGAGGCTTCCGCACGCGAAATTAGCGAAGATTGTTGATAAAAAAGCATTCAAATAAATAACTTTACATTGCTTAGTTATTGATAGGGAAGACAGAACAGTCCTTCTGCGAAACCGCTGATTATATCAATAATAGTAGTTTTTATTTTTATTTTCTTGTCATATTTTACAACGTTATTTTTATTTCGCATTTGACAACTATCAGTGGCTCGAGTCTACTATTTTCAAAGTGTTGTCATTCCTACACGATTCCATTGTCATTTTGCTAAAAGTTTGTAATCTGTTAATTCAAAATGGCTGATCATTGGCGTTCGGCGATGTCGTAATAGAATTATAGTACGAGATGTCTTGTAACGAATTATAAACAATAACTGCACATTAATATCCTAAACGTAAATCATTAAATAAAGGAACTGGCATTTTTTTACGCAGGGCGGTGGCTGGGCCACTGTTTGCAGCGCAACGTGTCACGGGTTCGATTCCCGCACGGAACAACTCTTTGTGTGATTCACAGATTGTTGTTCTGGGTCTGTGTGTGAATTTGTGTGTCCGTAAACGCAGCCACGACACACGAAAAAATCCTAGAGTGGGGCAACTTTTTATTTAAAGAAGAAAAAAAGTCTTCCCACCGATTTCATATCAGTTTACTAATTAAAATAATTTGACAGACTAGTCGTCAGCCAGCCAAAACAAGACTGCTGTCAAAAACATTCTAGACTTACTTTTTGCTCTGTAGCATTTATCTCACTTTTGACCCCTAAACTAATCAAACGAGATGTTCTAGAAATATTACGGTTATATCACAAAACAATACTTCCAATACAATGCGGCCAATAATATCACAAAAAGGCTTTTACAGACAAATTACAATAACAATTTTAGAAAATACTATTCATTAAAATCAAGTTGATTAAAAAAATACATAATCAAATAAAGACAAATATAATTACAAAGATAACAAAACCTTGTGTATTTAAGGGCCAAGAACAAAACTCTTTGGACACAACAATAAAACAAAACAATATTGGTTCCATTCTTAAAATGACATTTAAATTATAAGTCACAATCAGAATATAAAAATAGCGTTACATAACTTTGGTATCTAAGACCAAAATAGTTCCGAACCTTTTTTTGAATTTTATTTGCTTCTGCTGGCGGTCAATGCCGTCAGCCCAAAGTTATTTCAATTGGTTTGAAGTTACACTATGTTGCACCATATTTTTATATGTTACGAACCTGTTATAGCCTCGAAGGTTACTATTGGACCGTTGGGTCTTATTTCCGTCAATCATGGTAGTGGCCACTTATTGAACACGTGAAATAAATGGTAGCATCTTTCTTTTTTTAAACATTTGATAATGGAATTGGTTAACGCTACTTTTAAAAAATAAATAAGGAAAATATTATAGAAAATAAAAATACATTTAATGAAAATCTATTGTCAGATGTTTTTTTGAATAATTAATGTCAATGTCAAGGCATTTATTTCGATTTGACCAGTTTACTTGCCCTCTTTAAAGTCACGGCCAACCTCTTTGTTTTATCGTAAGTGTTAATGTGCGGGGTTCAGAGTTATGGTCGATGTTTGTCAATAAAATCTCTTGCATAATACTGAGATCTTTAGAAAATAATTTATACGATTTTATCCCGAAATTATTTATTTTAGGCAAAAGCAGCAAAAATTTGTATCAATTCGTAAGTTTTGAGTACATTCCAATATAGGGAAATAAAGAAAAAATCACTTACGCTTTCCCAAATACACGTACAATGTCAATGACCCCTAACTGTCGAACTTGACATTCATATTTTGTATTATGGAACGTATTATTATTAATTTATGTAAAATACCTTAAAATCCATACAGACGAAAAATGTGTTAAATGTGTTACTAAGCGCTAAGAGTAGAGCTACAAATGGTTTTTTATGTTGTGGCTTTAATAATTAAATGATAAGGAACTTTTGAGAAAAAAAATCGATTCTTATAGAAAAAACTAATATTAAGATGAACGAATACTCCAAAGTAATGTGCGCTTATACGCGCTCTGAAATGACTGCACTAAAAGTTTTAAAGTCTGACTCTTCATCTTAACCTGTTTGGGAGATCTTGTAGGATAATTTTTCCCTCATTCTGAAAGGAGGGAAATCAATACTATCATGTTATTAATTAATGAAAGTGTGATTATTCTTTAAGGCTAGGTCAAACTCAGTAAAACATGAAGGTTTGGAATCTATTGCTATTAATGTTGCGTATAAGATTTAACATACTTTCCAAAACTTTAAGTTGATTATTCCTACTTTATCATACTACTACCTACATTCGGCTCCATTTACTCGTAGCGTGATATTTTATAGCCTATAGCACTCAGGAACATTGTAGCTATCTATCAGTGAAAGAATTATGACAATCCGGCCAGCGGTTTCAAAGATTACCCCTACATACAAACTTACAAATTTTACCTCTTTATAATATTAGTATAGAAGTATAGATTACAACCTAGTCATACAGCCTCTTGCAGAATTTAACCAGTAATATATGTATCTTTGTTTGTTGAAAAATAATAAATTTTAATATAAATGAATGCACTATTAATTCTTAAACTCTGTCTGATAGCTAACATCCTGCACGTGTAAATAAAATTTTGATACATAAAAACAACCGTTATCTATTTTACAAGCAAAAAATGACTCGTTAATTTTGTTTGTCTGTCTGGAAAACATAATAATATCTTTGAACAAAGTTAATCTTTGCAGTGTGTCTAATATTGTTATTCATAACGTTGTATAACGTTTTGAATTAATTATAAATTATCCGAATCCGGGTGTAAGTTGTATGAGAATTTTGTTTGTTTGTAAACAAATATACGAAACAAGGAAAAATTCTAATTTGAGGCATAAAAAAATCACAAACAATAAAGATTACGCCATTCTGATGCTAGATAGTTTATAGAAAATATAGGTATGAATAAGTAACGAAATAATAATATCTAAATGTATGAAATATACAGTTTAGACAAAATAGCCTACTTGATGAAAAAGTCAGTGTAAAAGATTGACACTTTTAATCGATTAATTATATTAAAACTTATATCAGACTTCAAAATATTTGTTTTTATTTGCTTTTTAAATTGAAGGCATTGGAGCATGTCGTTGTACATAAAGAATCAGGAAAGTGGCGCGAAAATGTTTACTGCTAGCGTTCCATTTTCAAACCTGCATACATGACGTCAAAATTGTTTTTTTTTTTCAGATTGCCGGCACAGCACACCAGCCAGTATTCGGCTTTATATACAACGACTTTTTGGATGAACTAGGAGTGGGCACAGCGGCAGTCACAGTCGTATTTGGAGTATTTCAAGTCACATTAGCTGTAGCAGGTAAATTTAAATTTGGAATTATTAAAACCATTGAAGTAGAATCTGTTATATAGTTAACATTGAATAGTTTGTTTTTTAAAAAAAATCCATCAAAGCCAATTTTTAATTATACCATAAATGTTTTAGTTACAGTGAAAAATATATCACAGAAATAACTATGGATAGACTCAACGTGAATGATTTTCTGTCTTACGATAATATAACAGTTAACATCTGTTCTTACAACTTTTTTAGTAGCAAAATCAACATTAATTATTTTTTGTAACACATAGGCGATTTATTTTATTACACAACAGATAATTACTAAATACTAGTTACATTTTTTACACTACGATCAAATAATAAAAAAAACAACGAATTAATTGTATTTACATTTTTTTATAAAAGTAATTGAAGATTTAAATTTGAACTTTATTTTTTTTCTTGGCACAAAGAAGGTCAATGTTCAATATTAATTATACGTTACGTAACACAAATATGTAAGTCACAGCAAGTTCAATGACATTATTGTTTAGTTTTGTATTAGTGTCGAATTATAGCGGAGTTTGTAGCTTGGTATTGTTTTATGTTATTTGATCGATTATGTAAGTCAATGACATTACATCACCAGCCATTGCTGGGAAAAGATCTCTCACGGAGAAGGTCCTATTAGCATTATCGCGGCACCACGGCTGCTTAAATCAGACTGTCGGTTCAAACTAATAAAATAAATAATAAATCAACCAGTGTTCCTTTCGATGTTTCCCTTCGCCTTTTGTCAGTGACATCAAAATAGTTCTATTAATCCAGAAAAAGTCACTGTGGTGCGAGTATACGGCTTGAGAAGTAGGCTCGTCATCTAAGGGCCACCACGACATATATTATGTATAATAACATGATAATATACAATAAAAGATCTTCCTAATATAAAGACAATGCCTACTTCTTGTTTTAAGTATGTCATTGAGAACGGCATAGTGAAGAATGAGGAAGCACAAAAGAGTTTTGATCAATCTGATTAGAGCCGTCCTTCAGTTGACTATTTCAACGGAATCCTACATTATAATAATTATACCATGCAGGTATAATAGAACCCATATAATGGAACCAATTAGTGTATTATAAAACGCACTTGACCTCTTTGCAAATCATCGTCAATGAGGTCAACGTAAAAGTCCATTTTTCCCCTCTTCACTTTTTTGTGGGTGCGTTGCAAATGCCTGTCCCATAATCGGTTTTTTGCCTTGAATGGGAAAGTATATGTCTGCTAATAATAGGGATATTTTTCGTATATTTTCTTTTCTATTCTATATTCAAGTAAGTAGGTAAACTCTTTTTTGTATACGCCACATTTCATGCATAAGTATTATATATTAATTTTTGGTTCTAATAAAAAACTTATAAGAATGTCTCATTTGACTGCACAGTTGACGCGGTGGCTAGAAAACAGGCTACCGCGCAACGCGTCACGCAATACACAACTCTTTGTGTGGTCTACAAATTGTTGTTCCGGGTCTAGGTGTGATGTACCTATATGTGAAATTGTACATATGTTAAAGCACTTACGACTGTAGACAATCCAAATGTTAGGAAAAGTTTTTTTATGTGATATGACCGCTAACGAGCAGACGAATTTTGTGATGGCAAGCAATCGGCGCCACTCATAGATGCCCGCAACGGACACCCAATCCCTAATCCCTTCCTAATCCCTGGATTGGGTTTCGAGTTTACGGATTGAGGGAAGGGAAAAAGGATTGGGCATCCGGTAGCCTTACTGACACGGCAACGAACAACACTTCAGCCGCTGTTGTTGTTTCACATCAGTTTTCTGCGAGGCTGAGATATCACTCCGGTTGAGCCATTCGCACCAAAGCATGGCCCTTCCAAACTTTAATTCTTCAAAAAGGATAACAATAATTGATTAAACGAGTAAAATGATTACTCGTTACCGTATGAGAATCGACCCTGATTCATTGCATCCTATTAATTGCAATAATTCGCCACAGAAAGATAATATATATTTATAGAGAAAGAGAGAGAGAGAGAGAGAGAATGAGAGAGAGAGAGAGAGAGACAGAGAGAGAGATAATATATAAATATATATAACCCACACAAAAGCTTTTAAATGAACCTCCTATTCCTTATCAACAACTTTAGCATACATAATTAAAAATGTAGTGCAGTATTTGCAAACACGGTTTAAGCCGAAGGAATAAAAAAGATCGTGTCAACACAAAATGCTCGGAGCATTTTTTTTATGTTTTTTTGCATTCTCGTGCGAACAGGATAAAGCCAGTGTTTAGCTCTACGATGCAATTTTGAAAATGCAAACATCCTTTCCTTAATTAAGTCATAGAATTCGTATTTCTTTTGTTATTTACAAAGCAAATGCTGTACTCAACATATAAGTTAAAGATTCGCAAAATATGTTTTTGTTTTTAAGGGCTGCTTTTTTATAGTCAGATAAATGTTATCTGTGGAATAAAATTGTTTCTATCACTGTCTTACACAAACATTCTGACGCGACAGCATCAACATTATGTTTGTCATTGGTTTAGATGTCTTTAGTGTCATCCTTTGATACAACACATAGACAACATTTTAAATATTATCATGAAATAAAAAGTCAATTGCTATTGCTATTGTTACCGTATACTTACAAGAAATAAAGCTCAAATTCAAATACAGAAATTAAAATTCGTAATCAAAATCATTTTGTATTTGTCGACCACCCATCTTATTAGCCACCGTAAAATATTTACCAATAACAATTATTTATTTAGATTCCAAAACATAAAAATGTATCAAATTCCTTGGCCACCTAGATTATTTATTATTATTAGAAACAATTAATATAATGCTATGCATGATTGTTTATTTATTAATGAGATTATAAATATTTACAAATGACCCATTAGGGGCACGTTGCTCTAATTCAATCATTAACAATCTTAGCATAAATAACACAAGATGAAAAAACATTTTGATGTTTTAACAAAATCATTTATTTTTTCTTTGGCGATGACAAGACTGATTATATTCTCATTAATTTATTTTTGAAAATAAAACAACAGCTGTTTGACGAACAAAAATCATTGCTTATCTTTAGAATGATATTCTTAAATGCGAGAAATAAATTTCATTTTGTTTTTTGCAAACAGAATTTGTGGCGGAAACAGTGTTACATACATTCACTATTACTAAATAATAAACATAATTTTCCTTTGTTTCAGGATTCTCAGCAAACATAGCTTTAAAGAAACTATCTTTAAGACAAGTCGGTTTAATAGGAGCCTGTATTTATACCCTAGCGTCATTCTTAGCCATATTTGCAGTATCTACGACACAGCTGATTTTAACAAATGGCCTTCTACATGGCTTGGGAATGGGCCTCCTCATACCTGTCTCCTACACAAGTTTCAACAGTTATTTTACAAAGAAAAAAGTACTCTATCTTAGTTTATGTAAGGCTTCAATTGGAATGATAACGATGTTCTACCCGTTGTTTATCAAGTTTACGATGACGGAGTATGGGTTTAGAGGCACTCTTGCTATTCTTTGTGGAATATCAGCGCATAGTATATTTGGAGCGTTAGTGATGCATCCAGTTAAGTGGCACTTGGTGAAGCAACCAAAACCCTGCGAGAAAATCGTTTGTAAGTTCCTTTTCTACCGAAAATTCATTCATAAAGGTCACTGTTCTTTAAGCGAAATTCATTTCGCTTTGTAAAACTGTTTCGTTCTGTACTGTTGAAAGTTCAGCTTTTAATATAAAGCTAGAGTAATGCTATTCAGCTTTGAGTTTTGTTTCAACTTTTGTGTCTGCTCACTTGAAGTTTAAAATTAATATTTTATAGTAATCCAGTCTATTACTTACCAAGTGGAAATGTTTGTATTAATCTACTACATCACTTTGATGAATTAAATTTCCTTTCTGATATTAATACAATCGTAGTGAAACCTTACAACCGTAAAATTAACGTTGTATTTTCAGTAATACCACCGACACCCGCCAAAGAAGACAACAAAGATAATAAGTTCGATTTCACGAAGACCTTACCGCGAATCGATTCATCAGAAAATGCGAGATCTGTCGAGAATTTGTATCGAATCAATCGATTGGAAAATCCCCAGAAAGGAGCAGAATTACTATTTGTGTCGAAATTAAGCGATTCCAGACGATTAAGCATACCAGTTGTCTTGATCCCAGCTGATGGAAGAATCGATAGTAGTTTCGATACGAGTGACCATGTGTATCGAGAGAATTTGTTCAAAGCTGCGTCTGTATCGAGTTTGGGTAACTTCGGGAATATTGCTGCGGAACCCATGCCAATAATAAAGAACAAAGAAGGAAAATGGTGAGTTGTTCTATTTATCACGACATAGTTTAAAGCCCTCGTTTAGGCCTGACTACTTGTACCCACAATTAAGTGTCTAGGCCTTGATTCGGGTCTGTTATTTCCATGATGTTTTTTATTGATAAATTATATAACACCTTGAACACTTTTAAATTAAATTGTTTTATATTTATGCATAAACAAACGTTCTAGTCTGAACTGTTAAAATATTCATTGACCATTCCTTATCTATATATAACCTTTTTACAATCTAGAACAAAAAGAACTCAGTAGGAAAAAATATTAAATAGTATAAAATTAAGTAGCAGTCTCTGTCCCTGTATCCTTACGTATGTATGCTGAAATCTTTAAAACTACACAATCGATTTTGATAAAGTTTTTTATTAGACAGAGTGATTGACGTACGATTTATTAGACGTTTTATATGTATTAGAACATCCATTAGTAAGTGTGGAAATTTAGTGTCAGCATTGTATCCTTGTTCAGGGGGTCCGACGCCATGACGGGTCACTAGTAAATAACATTTTTGGTATCTTGAAAGGGTTAAATATTTTAATATCAAGTTTTGATACACAAAAAATAAATTTAGCTATTCAAAATCGAAAATTGCAATGACTCAAATTACAAATTAATCAATCATGATGTATAAAAAAGTTGCGGTGACATTACGTTAAGTTATTTTCAAACAGAAATGACATTTAAAATTAAAATGACAGTTTGTTTAGTAACATTACCTATTGCGTTTAAGGCACTAACTTACCTTGACAGAGTATAAATATATATTACTCTAAATTTATTACTGAACAATAAAAAATAATTAACTATTTCAATTTTATTAATATTTGATTTCTTCTCCAAGACTGCCTTTGTTCATCAACTCTAAGGCCCACCGGACTTCAGTGTTTCGGTGTTTTTATGGTCATATCTACTGTAAGAGCAACCATGGAGTTTCTTGCACTTTCTTCTTCAAAGAAATCTACATTTTGGAACGAGCAACTAGCTTTACAACAGTACAGCCTGACAGAGACACAGAGTAGATGCTTTTGTAATTATTTCTATTTGTTTTAAGTTCATAATGTTCCTATAATGGTCTATTTAAAATAAATGATCTGACTTTGACTTTGACTTTGTAGATTGAGCATTGTGTTGCGGTTTTGGGAGAAACCTGTAGTAAATTACATACAAAATCTTGACGCATTCAAAAAAGTGATTTATTTAGTAGACATATACCTATTATTGCGTTGGTGAAAACCACACGCCTCAATATTCAGACAGAATGTGTTTTTTGTGTCCATTTTTGCGCGCGTCGCTCCCGTCATTTACCCTACTCTACCTACCCTACCTACCCTATTCTACTTACCCTACCTACCCTACTTTACCTACCCTACTCTACCTACCCTTCTCTACCTACCCTACTCTACCTACCCTTCTCTACTTACCCTACTCTACCTACCCTACTCTACCTACCCTACTCTACCTACCCTACTCTACCTACCCTACTCTACCTACCCTACTCTACCTACCCTACTCTACCTACCCTACTCTACCTACCCTACTCTATCCTATCCTATGTCCTTCTCCTGGCTTTAAACTACCTCCTTGCCAATTTTCAGCTAAATCGGTTCAGCCGTTCTTGAGTTATAAGTGGAGCAACTAACACGACTTTCTTTTATATGTATAGATTTCTCGGATCAATAATTATCATAAATAGTTACTAGATTAGACATGCTTTTTAAATTTTATCCAATAGACATGTGTAGCAGTCGACTTTGATTTCATTTACATTTTCTTAGAATGTAACACGTCACTATCGATTCAATTCAGTCTAATACCAGTAGCGAAAAAAAATTCTTCACAATTGTATCTATTAAAAAAAAAAGAACATTGGCCCATCTTGGATTTTCTTTCTTATGCTTGGGCCACACTAATGGTACATGCCATAAATTTTCGCAATAAAGAACGTTAATCGTAGGTGTGATTTGATCACAAAACAAATGATTTAAGGTATATTTTTCATTGTGTAATATCATCTATTATAGCGATAATTATTGGCATCTCCGGTTAGTGTGACCCAAACATTACCGTAGGTGCGTTAACATACATACAAATGCACATACATATCATACCCGGACACGGAGCAACAATTTGTTGATTACACAAGGAGTTATTTTGTGTGAGAACTTTGGACCCACAGCGTCAACTGAGCAGTCAATATAACAATAAAAAATTTCTTTTCAGGCAAACAATATCGGAATTCCTCGACTTATCTCTCCTGAAAGACTTGGTCTACGTTAATATTATATTTGGGCTGGCATTAACCTTCTTTTCCGACCTCACATTCTTTACTCTAGAGCCACTATTTTTGGACAAAAAACATCTAAGCAAGGTAAGACCCTTTATTATTTTTACCACAGAATGAATATTAAAGCTTAAGATGGATGTAATGTCTTTTACTTGAATTGTATCTTGGTCTGGTGAAATGTTGATTTTGTTGAAAATGATGCAGATTCGTGTACTAGGTCGGTATAAGATTTTCAAATATTGATCATTGCTTACGTAAAGGTAACATTTCTTGCTCGGATAATAATTTAGGCACTTGAGTTAATTATTATATATTTATAACGCCTTACTCATACTGTAACTGTTTCTCGAGAAACATGAATAGTTTGAAGCCAAGCTAGGAGCTCATTTTCATGAACAGCATTGCCATAATATGAAAATAAGGCACATATGTGGTATATAGTTCATACAAATTATGTTCCATATTCAAATTTGTCTTGTAGATAGTGATAATCTAGTCATGAATATGCAGCCTTTTCAATTACTGTCTCTTAAGTACTTCATACAAACTGATTGTGTAAAAAGTAAAATTCGAGACAACTCAATTTAATAGATCTCTACTTCTATAAAATATTAAATTTTGCATTTAAAAACAAAAAAAGAAACAATGTTTTGCTGAGAATAAGTTATGAGAAAAAAAGAAAAATCTTTTCTGTGGCAGAACAAATGTAAATTCTCTGTATGCATAATTCTTGGTCTTAACTACACGCAATTCTATTCTTGAATTCATGCACTGCTGAGTTACCATTACAATTTAAATGTAAGCCAAAGTTCTGGCAACACACGCTAGAATATAACAATGGGTATGCGAATTCTAACTTGTTTTATTAAGAGCCATTTAGTGACTCAAATTAAGCTATAACTGAATCTCTATTTGTTTTAACTTTAATTATGTAGTTTGTATAGTATCTGTCATTTATGAGAATACCTAAATCATTGTAATTAGAGGAAAATTGTCACTAACATGACAAATAAGTACAGATTTTCTGTACTAACACTTCGCAATAGTAGCATAAATATAGCAAAATATAGCAAATAGGAGGCTCAGTTGCCATTCAAGAAAAAAATTCAGAAAAAAAGAACAAAATTGCCTAATTGTAATAACATTTAATTTATTTAATTTTACTATACCTATACACTTCAAGTCGAAGCACTAGCGTGAAGCGGGGGAAGGAACAGGGTGGTTTATAGTCAGGAAGTCTGACACTCTCTGTCCACTCGGCTAAGCTAGGGCGAAAAGAGTAAATAATAATATTTACATTATCCATGAGTAATAAATATAATGTTAGTATTACTTCATGCTAAGATTTTCTAAAGCTTTCTTGAAATAGCAAACGAGCAGAAAAACGATTCAGGTATCCATACCTGCAGCATTGAGCAGTTACAAGTGCATCATCAATTTTTTGGTGACGAGGGAATGAGTGGCGCTTACGCACACAATAAAACTAAACTACTGAAACAAAAAAAATAAAGAAAAACTCAATCGTTGTTTCACGCTGATTTTCTGTAAATATGAACCAAGTTTTAAATAGCCTTATAACTTGGGGCATAGGACATCTTTTCCCTTTATTCAATCATACGTGAAATCACAATTACTTTACTTAATCATGTGATATAAATTTATATATAAAATTTCTATTTCAGCCTGAAATAGCAACAATAATAGCAGTCGGGGGAGCGACAGACATGTCGGCGCGTCTGTTCCTGGGCGTGGCTGGACAATTCTTCAGGATGAACAGCAGATACATGTTCTTCTGTGGCGCCTTATTTACAGCCATCTTCAGATTTGGTAAGATTTTCTTTATAGATTATTCTATTTGACTGCAAAATATAGGCTCTGAATGTTTACATTATTATTAAAAAAGAAGCCTTTTTTGGCATATCCCTGTCTGTATGAGGGCTTGTTTCGTCACCTTCATGTACTTAATTAAGTGCCTAAACAATTTAATGTGGCGTATGATACATACACTTACCTACGTTTTTACGCTGCGTAATCGTTTATATTTGAATAAATATTAGTGTTACACTGTTCCCCCATAATTGAACCAACTGTTTGTAAAAGGAATCTGTATGTGAAACTGATTTAAAAAGAGTAACCATGGAGTTTCTTGTTCGTTCTTCTCCATCGGAATCTACACTTTGGAACGAGCAAATAGCTTCACTAAGAGGACTGACCGACAGACTGACACTATATCTTCAAAATTTTGTTTGACGTTCAAAAGTGCCTGTAAAGGTCTAATTGGAATAAATGACTTTTGACTTTTTTTTGTACTCTACATTGTAAACTAAATATTTTTGGTAGCTTCTTTACCTATGTACGGCTACGTAGACATAATAATAACATAATAATAAGCATGGTGATTAACCTAAAGATAGGCATACATTATATATACAACATTATAATAAATTAAAATGCTTTTAATTTTATCACAACTAAAGATGTAGTGATTAAATAAAATGTATAATGACGACATCTGTGGTCGAGGATTGTGTACAACGGCTTTCATCGATACGTCAATCTGAGCCCTGGCTAGGTTCGAATCCTGGCTAAGTCGATGTAGAAAAAAAACCATTTTTGTTTATATATTATCTTGGATGTACAGCTGTGGCATCGTTATTACTCCAGATTTTTCATAACTTAGGAACTTTGGTTTGGTTTCTTTAAATCTGAAGCCTTAACATATACATCTTAAAAGAACCTTTTTTGAAAATTTATTTTAGTATTACTTTTCTAAATGTCAATTTACTTAATATATTTTAAACAAAGAAAAATAATATAACAATGACATTTATTTAATCTACTTTAATAATAAGAAAATTCGTTGAAAACAATATAAATTAGCTAATATTTAAATTAGGAGAAATAGAATAATAGAATTTATGGCATAGGTATCATTTCTAAAAAGGTCGCTCATTTGTAATCTAATTTGAACAATACATTTAAAAAAAGTATATTAATGATGTCTATTATTATTATTTGATATTAATTCTGAATTTAAATATCTATTTTTGGTCCCTATGTGATATACCTCATACTGGTTTCAACCAACGGCTTTGCCCGCAGTATCAGGGTAAAAGTAAATATATCTACATAGAATAAAAATTTATTGATGATTTGCGGTATAAAAAAAGAATATAATTAGATATCTAATTTTATTCATCTTTGTGTATTAGGATACGTATTGAACAGTATATAGAACTGGCACAAAATACTTATGTAAATAGCAAAAATTAAAGTTAAAAATATAATATACATAACGTAACAGAAGAGAACTACCGAAAGTACAAAAAATAGTTATCAAGCTCACAATCATTATAAGTAAATATTTCTTTAATTTATACGTTCAATTCTAAACGTAACGAATAATTAATATAATGATTTGTCGAATCATTTTATATAATATTTTAATTGACTATTTTATTTTAGTATTCAAAAGGTAAATTTAAAAATCTTTTTGAAAATTAATTAATTACCAACCAAAAAAAGGAATGATAGATAGTGTCATGACTTGACTAAATTATACTTTGAAATTTAAATTTAAATATAAAAGAAACTGCGTAAAAATGGCGTCCGTTTGTTCCCATATAAAAATGTACCCTCGCTGGATCAGCAATGTCCATGTAACGCAGCTTTAGTCTCAAAAGTGTAGATAATTATATTAACGTACGAAATCAAATTATGATTTATATTATAAAAGCGAAAATTTGGAAGTATGAAGGATTTAAGGAAGGAAAGGGAAGGATGGATGTTTGTTACTCTTTCATGATAAAGTACTGAGCTATGCTTTGATAAGCATAGGCCCAAAGATATAATACATACATATAGTCTGAAATAAAATATAGGCTTCTTTAAGTACCTAAATCTATCGAAGCAGAGAGATTGTTTTTTGAAAATTGAATATATGATTTTAAATAAAAAATAAAAATTTTATGACATGCTTTTTTCTGTTGATAACAATAGAAGATCTACAAGATATGTCAATTTATTTTATTGCATTGAATATATAATATATAACAATGCAAATATTCAAATTTGAGATAAGATTTACCTATACTGTATTTTGGGAATTAGAAAATGTATTGTAATAACAATAAATTAAAGGTTGTCCAAGAAAAATATGTTGAAATCAGTAACATCTATAAATTTCATAAAAATAAAAAACCTGTATGCAATATTAAAGATAATGACTTAATAAATTATTATCACTTGACGTAGGTTGTTTTTATATTTGGAGACCCATTGTTTTATTTTTCGTTTAGAAAAAGAAAGATGATATTCCGATTATTGTAAGAACTAAAGTGTAATACACTTTACGCACATATTCAGAGACGGAATGCAAAAATTAACTAAGAATCTTAGTATTTCACCGCGACCCCGGCTCGGAGCAGGAAAAAGAACGGGATGGTTTACAGTCAGTAAAAGTCAGACGCCTCCCTCAGGGTGGCATAAGCCATTTTAATGAATTTCCCTCTCAAATCCCTTGAAATGATTTTTTGTGCTCTGATTAAGGTAGACTCTTACTGAATAAAAGTCCTCGGTACCTATAAGACCGCCTATCATAACATTTTTAAGAAACTAAACAAAATATTTTCTTTCTTTCAGTTTTCATCCACTTTACAACTTACGTACCACTTCTGATCCTGACTGGTGTGCTTGGTTCCTTGAGATCTCTAGTCCATATTGCCCAGCCAATAGTGTTAGCGGAATATGTGCCTATTGAGAGGTATCCACCGGCTTACGGACTTTATATGCTGTTGGCAGGAGCCATCAGTTTAAGCGTTGGACCTATGATCGGTAAGTTCTTGTTTTTTTATTATATTGTACGGTTTACTCAAAAAGCTGTTTGACGAGGTAGCTGGGCTAGTTTCAAGCCATGCCCGGGATCTATAATTATAAGCGACATTGCGCCATTAACTAGTAGTATTCTACCTTTAACATTAACGAGTATTCTACCTTATTATATTTCATATTACAAATTACTATTATGGCTCTAACCTTCTCCGTGTGAGAAGATGCCTTTGCTCAGTGGGCACTTATGGGCTGATGATGATGATGATGATTATGATTTTTTAATCTTCTGGGTACGTGATTGATTGGATTTGTAGGATATAAAAAATTTCAAAGGCTTTTAATCATTTTGTTTTTCAAATTGTTGGCGGACAAGGTACTTATTTACTACCAACGTACATTTTACACTATCTATCTAAGTAACTATTGTACATATACATTATACAAAAAATGTTGGCCACAACTAATTAAAAACAAAGAATGATTGCATCCTGTTAGTTTGAACACGTCAATAAAACAATATTTATTATTAAAGATCACTTAGATCAATCAAGATAAGATATAATATAACATCTGCTGATTGCTATTAACAATAAAATCCAGACATGATTCTACGTCTAGATATTATAAATAAAATTGAGATGTCTGATAATACCTATGCGCAAAACTCCTGAAGTGCTGAGCCAAATTTGAAAATTACTTTTTTTCATCTTGTTCGTTCTTCTTGTATGGACGTGTTGAGCCTCCACAGCACCGCGATTTGTTTTAGTTTTTTAAGAATTTGTACACTGTGGACTAGCCAATAAAATTTAAATTGCTATAAAAAAGAAAATTACCCAGACCACTAATGAAAATATTCCTACCACTAAATCACTAAAGACACTGGTTAACCGCACAGACTAGTAAAAAAATTAAGATTTCATCATTCATCTACCATGATAGACAAAAGTAAAAAAAAATAGTCTTAGTTTTTCTGAGAAATTAATTCAATAAGTATTTCAAAACCAAATACAGTTTTAGAGCTATATTTTCGAAATTAATTTTATCCGACATGCAATACGCATATTAATAAGACCAAAATTTTTAGCAAAAATATAATTTTCTGTAATCTTAATTAAATATCGCATTCGTTTAATTAACACAGGAAAGCTAAATGCTAATCGCACGTATTATTAAAACAAAGGATTTTAATTTTACCATTTATATGTATCAAAATATCTGATCTCAATCAAATTCGGTATCTGCGTAGAAAATTAAAAAAATAACACTTTTTAGATTTATACTTAATCCTATACTTACTACCTACTACCGTCTTCCTAGCTTGTGGCTTTGACAATGGAGGACCAGAATTTCTATTGCGTTGCTTAATTTCTCCAAAGGTTATTTATCAGTTAAGCATGAAAATTCCTATATTGCAAAACTATTTATAATTTCCATCTCTTCGTATTAAATGTCTGTATACAAAAATCATTGAAATTTTGAATTCAAATTTGGTGTAGTGGCGAAATTACATAAAAATATTCTATCTTCAAAATATACCAGCGCAATAATGTACCAATACAAAGACCGACCGACCCGTAGCAGGAGAAAGAACAGGTTGATTTTTAGTCAGTAAGACTCTGATGTTCCCTCCTGGCCCACCTAGAAGGGAAGAAATCACAATAATGATAATTTCTCCTCTTAAAAGACAACACTATGTAAGAAATGTAACAAACGGACAGTTCTATTAAAATCTTATATTATTATCGATACAAATGTTTTATGACCAATGATCTACAACCGCCAATTAGTGTAAGATTTTTAATTAAGAAATAAAGACAAGGCAATTTACTTAACATTTTATCGTTGATTAGCATTTAAAATATTAAAAATCCTATTTTTACATAACGGATCTAAAACATATTTTTTGTCTTATCGATCACTTTAAGCATATCAATGCAAATAAACGTCAAATTAAAAAGGTAATCTATGACATATTTTTTAACACTGTTTCCTTCTTTACATCGTAATCTTTTTAAAGAAAATTATTTAGCCCGTTAGAACTTTTTAAAACTTTAATCGCCATGGTCGACTATAGGCGACAAACGAAAAATAGGCTATTTCCCCAATGTCACACATTGTTGTTCTGGTTCTGGTTGTAATGTGTATGTTTTTAAAGACACCAACGACACAGGAGAAAACCTTAATGTAGGGCAACGTTTAATAAAAATATCTAGCATAGCCGACCAGTAAGGGTCATAATTAAGTATTTTTAGTTTGTCGGCTATACCCGACCGTCATTTAAAAGCTTTAATATTTTACTACAGACACTCGTATGCAACGTGTACTCGTGGAAATACAGAATCAATTCGAAACATTAATTAATAAAGCACCATCCATTATCTATACAATTCATCAACACTAAACGTACGTGACGTACGCATTTGCTTAGGTACCTACCATTAAACACAATTCAGCAATCCAGTTCAATCAATATCATAGGCATCCAATGATGCCCCGTTCTATTATCCTTGTCATTTCAATTTGTGTATTCAGCATTCATGTAGGAACACTGAATAGGTACTATCGACACATTAATTTGGTACATTGATGAGCTACCATTGATGCAGTTACAAATTAATTACAACTGCAGCTTGGTAAAGTTTGAAATTAATGTTATCGTCACTATGCAGTTTAACAGAAAAGACGCTGTCGCAGTCTGTATGTCAATATGTATGATTGAAGCTTTAAAACTAAGCAATAGATTTTGAAGGTTTTTAAGAACCGTTTTTTAATAGATAGAGTGCTTGAATCGGAATGTTACAATGTACGATATTGTAAAGAAGTATTGATGAATTGTGAGATTTCTAACGGGATGCCGGAAATAAACACATTGATAATCAAACATATCATTTTAAGACATGTCTCTGAGTATGATGTTCAATATAGAATATATAATTTTAGTCATATTGTTAACATTCATTTATTCATTCGTTAACACAACGTTGTGTGGACGGGTGTTTAGTAAGTCAAACACACTACTTTTTAAGTCAACCCCGGCTGAGAACTTCTTAATCCAAAAACTTTTACGAAGTGACTCCTTAATATTATATTAATATTTATTTTCTTTCTTTCCAGGCTTTGTACGAGACTACACAGGCAGTTATGCCATAGCTTTCAACATGTTAACAGTCTGCAATCTGCTTTGCGTGCTACCGTGGGCAGTTGAAGGTGTAATCAAATACAGGAAGAATAGAAACACAGCCAATAATCCACCAAAGACATAAAGTATAGTTTAGCATAATTCGGAGTTACAGGAATAAATTTTTCTTTTTATAAAAGAATTTGATACTCTATTTAGTTGTAAGTAAGATAATTTTTATTTAGATACACACAACATGTTAGAAGTACAATCAAAAACATAGTGCATGAGCGAAAATAAACTCGTATTATTATTATTTTTTGTGGAGAAGCCATTATGCTTTCGCCTCAATGGTCCTGCTCGAACGCAATGATACAGAAATGCTTACAAAAAACCAACAGGAAACTACGAAGCATTGTATTACGTTCACTGCTCTAATGGCGTAGATTGCTTGCCATCAGGTCATCATTGTGCTCTTTTTGCAGTTGTCTTATTATATCTACTAATTTAAAAATATAAAAGCTGTTGTTTTTAAGTGCCCTGCAGCTGAGCAAAGCAGGGCGGGCCGCTGGTTTGTCCTAGATGACAGTCATTTGTTTTCTTTTTTCATATTTAGAATGATTTACCTAAAGAATTATTTTACTTTTAAAATGTTGATGACAAACCTCTGTAGACTGTTTATTAGTTTTTTTATTAAGTGTACAAAGAAATGGGTTTTAAATAGTGTTTAACTGATATAGATATACATATAGTTGGTAAAAAGTTAAACTTGAAAGATGAAAAATTTAATTGTGGATAGTAATTGTAGAAGTATTGTGTGTATACACCCTAGACTTTAGTTTTAGGATGAGATATCGAATTATTAATTTTAATTAGTTTTTAATTATTTTAAGAATATGCAATTGTAAATACCTTTGCCCACTGCCGTTAGTAGTAGGTACCTTTATTTTAAGGTTAGTTTAGCCAAGGTCAAGTCTATGATAGGTTTAGCTTGTATAATAAGCCAAACAATATGCCATATCTTGCCGTAGTTAGTAAAAGACTATTTTTAATTATATTTTGTAAGGAATAGCTTCTTACCCCTTCTTTGATGAAGTATTTTAAAGCCTTCCAAGAGAAATGGATTATCTAAAAAACTATCACTGTTCAAATCTAACCAGCAGTTCCGAAGATTAGCCCGTTCAAAAAAATAAATTATTGTAGCTTTCATTTTATTAGTATATGTAGACAAATAAGTCTCCTTTTTGCTAGTGTATTATTAATGTAAATTACAAAAGTAAAAAATTGTAGGTTTATAATATTTTTTATAAAAAAGTCAGGCAAAGATCTTTTTTAGTTACCTATTTGGGTAAGAATTTTGTAATTTATTTTTCGAAACATCTAGTCTGAATGTAAACTATGATTTAAAAAGTTTGAACTTTAAGGCTATTATGTAAATAAAATTGAGTCATTCAATATTATGTTTTTTAAGCACAAAATTTGGAGTGACTGCCGAAAATTTATCAATAGTACTTTTTACTAGAAAAATATTTTTTTTGGGGGAATATTCAGGAAATAGAAAAAATATAAGTAGATAAACTCCAAGGATAACCTGTATATATAATAGTATTGTATATAATGTTATATGCATTTTATGTTATTGTCTGTGAATCCTATGATTGACTGCATCGATAAGCATATCTTGTCAGCTAAAAATAAATAATTTAATGAAACTTGTTTGTTTACTTTTTTCAATTTCATTTACATGTATGTATCACGATCCTTATCACCCTTTAAATGCAAAAGCAAAGAAACTTACATATTTATACTTATAAAAATAATAAGTCTAGTTTGCCTCACGTTTTCATCCTTTTCTGTGTGTCAGTGTTGTCATGCATATAGGTAACCCGGAAAAGTTACATTGGTCTTTGTCAGGCTTTGAACCTCCACGTCACCCACGGACCCGGGCGTGGTGCCCTGACATCCTCCAAGACCCGTGTAGGTCTTATTATTAATTATTTAAATTGATTTTAATTTGGCTTTGACAGTGAAGAGATGAGAAACGAAGTACCTGCCGCTGATAAGTAAAAGAATACCTATTTACCTACCTACTTGTAAACCTTTTTTTAAGGGGGAAAATCATTAATTGACTGCGCTCGCACTGTGTGGGGTGAGAGGGAGTCTTAGACTCTTACTGACTAAAACGACCCTGTACCTTCTCCTGCTCCGAGCTAGGGACGTGGTGCATTATTACGCTTGAACCCGCTGACGCTGACTCGACCGACCGACTGACTTGACCCGCTGACTGACGTAATTTGAACCTTATTTTGACTATACATGTAGGTGCATATTATTATTTAAATTGCTATCTCAATCATATTATAACTTGGTTTTTATTAATTTTAGAATAACAATAAACAAAGACTTATCATCATTTATTTCGAGATAAATAATAAAAGAAACATACGTCACTTAAGAAAACGTCTGCTGCCTATCGGTATCTGAGATAAATGCAATAAGCCAGTTCGATTAAAATATGTAGTAGTACCTAAATGTCCCACATTTACTAACCGAGCCTCACAGAAAACCGGCCTGAAACAACCGAAGTGTTATGTTACCGGAGGCCCAATCACTCCCCCTCTCTCCGTCCTTTTCCAATCCTGAAACAACTGAAACTCTTATTCCGAAAATGCCGGCAACACACTTGTAACTATTTTGGTCTATGGATGTTCATGGGCAAGTTTGCAGATCATACCATAAAAATATATTCTGTTCTAATGTATCATATACGCTTGGCTCGGAGTTTTGCAACTGGCTACTATGCAATGTGTCGCGGGTTGCATTCCATCGGGTCGGGTCGGAAACGAAAAAAGTATATGTTTTTAAACCCATCCACGTAGTAAGTATGTAAACCGTGTGGTGATGAACGCAGTAGTACAATAAAATTGCCACCATATTAAACTAGGCTTAACCCTGTTGGACAATGTGTTGAATTCTAGGACGGAATAATTCTATGTGTGTTTTACAAAATAATGTTCCGGGCCTGAGTGACACGTATTTATGTCCCGTAAGTACTTATTTATATCCAGTTATATAGAAGATTCGATCCCTGTTATGTAGGTATAGGAATTTCTCAATAGAACAGAAGACTATCACATACCATTGGTGAAGGTAGTTACACAGTTAGATGTACGAAGACATCTTTAAAAAGTTAGACAACAATACCAAACCAATCACAAAATAAAATAAAATAAAATGTAATTAAAATAACGGTTTACTTACACGAATCGAGGAATTCTCTACTAGTTTCAAATCATAACGGGGCTCTTATTCACTAACCGGGTAGGTCGTAATTTTCAATAAATTTAAAATAAGAATCAAATTTAAGTTAAGAGGCTCACTTCCTTTTACATGGGTCTTCGTGAGTCATGATGTGCACCTCTAGATACGTCTTCTGTACAAAGAATCGTATCAAATAATAAATTGGAAATTGTATCAAGGCAAAGCAAAAACTACCTTACAGTTCAAGGTATAAGGTAATAAACTTTATCACCATATATAGTATTTATATCGCATTATATTGTTTTAATATCGGTAAATATAGGAACAAAGAGTTTCGTACTCTAGCGTAGAAAATATGCATGTAATATAAGACACAGTGCACGTTGTACGACTAAGCGTGTTAAATCTTTCGACTAATCGCAACGGCTTGTTAGGTAGTAGAATGACTTTTTTCGCCCAGCGGGGAAATGTCAACTCTTGCTGACTAAAAACCATCTGGTTCTTTCTGCTATATTTTATTGCGCCCGGCTTGCTAAAGCTAGAATTATGTCTCTCACGAATAAAGATTGATCATCAGTCACAAACCAACCAACCATCCACCACTCTTCCTTAAGGTGGTTTGGCGGAGTACCTCAACTTGTTATTAGAAATAATAAAATTATATTAAGGAAAATTTAGAAAATGAGTCAAAATTATATCTTTGGTCACGAATTTCTCCAATAGATTAGCTATTGAGACAAAATTATTCTGGCTATCATTGACAGTACGATAATTAGGTAGGTAATACGATAATAAATTGTAATCGTACAGAAACATATTAAAATTAGATTGTATGGCTATGTTATAAAGATAACGATTATTAGTATACGCGCACGTTCGACTATTCTCTGATATATTTTTAACAATACAAATTTAATATAATTTCATAGGCAAACAACTTAAATTGATGAAACTGGACAGATTTAAATGTGTGTTTGTTTTCATTCTTTGTTTTCTTAAATTAATAAACTAAAATACATATAAAAGCAACATAAAATAATGCATATTATTTAGACTAAAATCAAGTAATATTAATCTATAGTTATTACGTTCCTCTGCTTCTAAATTTAAAACACGAAGCCACCAGTGGTTCTGTTATTAATAGACTAAACCGTCGTTTACTCAAAGGGCCTCATGTCGTCCATATTCAACGACAAAACAAAATTCTTATTATTCACAAACACGAACACGTTGTCCGCAATGTCGCGTAGTGTGCGCATCGCATTATTGCTCGTATTATCAGCTGACAATTTGTACTGTTTTTAACCGTCACAGAGACCAGTGTCAGTACACGCACATACATTTGTTTATCAACTGTATCAGCTCAGTACAATTGCGACGCTTACAAAAGACAGTTGTTTATCACTGAGTCTGTGAAATGGGTGAATTAAATACTGTGAATTCGGTCGACGAAGTTTTGCAACCGACGAGAGCGTCTTTAAGAAGTGTTAAAGAGGATGTTATGAAAGAAAAAGTGGATAGAAACAGTTGGGGTTATGTGGTCGGATTTGGAACGATTATAACCTTTGTGAGTACATATTATTGTTATTGTTTTCTGTAGCAAATGCACAATTTGAATTTGAATAAACAAAAAATATACCTATTTATTTTGTGTTATATATTTAGGGAAATCTAATTGAAAAACATATTAACTACTATTAGAAATTAGTTATTTCTCAAACTCAAAGTTTAGCACGTTGTATTAAATTAATAAATAATTAATGAAAATATTTTCGGTTAAATTTGTTTCTAAATATCAAGGCCCTAGCGTGCTCAAGGCTCATTAAATAGTTAGTTCCCTTATTTAGTATATAATTTGTCATATTTTTTTAGTAAAACAGTAAATCTAGACCCCATTTTTGGTCTATACTTTTAATAGGTTATGTTGTTTTTTATAAATAGTAATCTTGTTGGACTACCAAACTTAATTTAGTTCATAAATGTAGATAAATAAAGTAGATTTTTAAATGTACCTAATTACGTGAAAGCATGTACAAATCTTGTTTACGATGGGGTGCATTGCTCTTGTTTATTTTAAGCCTCTACGGTATTTGTCATAAGTGTAAACATTTGTGCAATGTGTTTCTTCCAGTTTCTTCAATACATAGCTATAAAACAACGTCACTTTGTCTGAACTTAAAGCCCTATGTATGCATAAATCTTATCCTACCTAATCTTTCTTAAATAAGATTATGTAGAATGTCTACATAATCTTAGAAACTAGCATACAGTGAAGAAAATCATCCTGAGGAAACCGGGACTTATAATTTCTAATTATAAGTTTGTAATCGCCCATTCACCTTGAGCAAGCTTGGTAATTAATGCTCAAACCTTTTCCATGTGAGAAGATACCTTAGCTTAGCCGTGGGCACTTATAGGCTGATGATAGTGTGATGTGAACTTAGGTATAATTAAAATCCACTCAATGGTAACATCGTGCTGACCTATCTTATACCTAGCGATAGTTTCGTAGCGTCCTATTGCCCTCGTAGTCAACAAATTATCACGCCATTACAAGTCCAATTGTCCAATTCAGGAATGATTGAATAATAGTAGGCATGTTGTTTCAAAAGAGCAGTAACCTACGTTCAATTGTAGGAAGTTATAAAAACCTAGGTAGGTTAGGCAATCTCAATTATGATTCAGTTGATCTACAAAACAGCTTTATAAAATTCTTTTTATGGGTTTGGGCGATAAACCATCCGGTGGATCACTTAATGGTAAGAAGCAATCGGTGGATAGCATGGACACTCGTCCCTTTAGGAATTTGCAGATCCGGGATTGCGGACCAAGCGCAATAAGTCGCCGGGGTCTCGGCCTAGAGCAGGAGAAAGAAGGTTTTTAGTCAGCAAAAGTTTGATACTTATTCCTGCCCCACCTTAGGTGGGACAAGTCATTTAATGTTTTTCTTTTCACAAAAAAAGCGATTTGAAGATTCGAGGAATTGAGGATGGGGTTGATTTTGGCATCTAGTTACCACTCTCACGCGGCGAAACAAGACGCGATTGTTGATACACACCGGATTTTTGTGAAGCCGAACCATGGCTCGAGTGCGCACCCTATTGGTGGACATTGGCTAGCTATTCCAAACGTATAATAAGAAATTATTAATATAGGTCTTCTCATCATACCGTTTATCTGTAATATGTAATCAATTTTAGAAATTACATATAATTTCGGAAACGTCATTTGAGTACTGACCAGATTTCCAACTCTTGATTTCACAACACAAGGGTTCACGAATACGAGCGGCCAAGCGGGCCTTACCCTCCAAGTCAGCATGGCATTCTTATAATATGTAGATCAATATACCCAATAATTATGATAACAAATATTTATTAATTTAATATTCATCTCAACATATATTCTCTTACTAAGAACTTAATCAAAGAATTATGATTAAGTTATTTTATAACCCGTTGGTAGCCTTGACAACGTGTTGGTATCGTGTTTCCGTATCAGTTAATGCACATGCACGATGCAGTTTATAATTACATAGATAGAATAAACATATAATAATAGATTGCGCGTTACTAATTACGACATCAAACGTTTAAATAGTGCAATTGGATGTAACTTGATATTATTGCTAAACTCTTTGAAGTTTTATACTTACTTTTATTACTTATGCAGAAATAAAGTTTTCCGTCCGTGTAACTTTTATACGTATGATGAAATACTAGACCAGAGAGTAGACCGAAACAACATTTTTTTTAGAAGTACAACGTTGCACTACTCTTACATAGAAGTTCACAATCACACAAAATGTTGTTCCGTGCGGGAATGAAACCAGTGAGACCTTGCACAGCAGTCAATAGCCCAGCCACTGCGCTAATCGTGCAGTCGAATCAAATTATGAGAAACGAAGATTTTTAAATGTTTATAGTTTTCATGAATTACTTGTTTTGCCAGTTGCTTTAGCCGCAGTACTACTGCAAAAACGACCCTTTTATTTTGGGACAAGGTTCTCCACCAGCTCTTTATACCGCTGCAATTCTTGTAGAACAGGATGCAGTTGGTACTACATTAGACACAACAATGATAAGACCAAAACACTGAAGTTTGGCGCGTAGCAGGCACATCAATAAGAGTCTTGGGTGCCGCAATTAAAATAAATCAAAAGATATTATTTGAGGAGAAAAAACAACGCAATAGTATCCACTTGTCTCTGTCAATTAGAATTTTTAATTCAAAAACCTGTGTATTATACCCAATTTAAGTACTGTAAAACAGTTGCAGATAATTGGTTGACATCTGTGTAAGAAATAGGATACATTCCCATTTCATTTTCATGGAAAATCACAGTTCATAATTTTGTAATGCTAATAATTTGTTTGTTCGTAATCAATGCTGTGGAAATGCGTTAATTGATATTTATTGAGGTTATTAAGAACAGTACGATATTAAACTGCTACTCGTTTAAAAGGCTTTTGTTATTTAGGTAATTATAAAAAGGCTTCGGATTGATACAGATGCCTGTCTGTATGAAACGTCTAAATGAATTTAAAACAAGATTCATGAATATTCTCATTTTTCGTCTTAATGCTCTACATCGATTTCAACAAAAAAATTGGGAGTATTTTGGTGCACGGCTTTATCTGGTATTTTTTACGAAATTTGTATTTTTTTATTTTGTCCTGTCATTTGACAAATTAAAAATAAGAGCCTAACATTTTTTCAGTATTCAAATTAAATATATTTTTTAATTTCATGTCGAATTGTGCCTAGAATTTAATCACAGTCTACCGGGGTGCAACATTCAGCAATGATGTACCGCGGAGAAGGCCCCAGCGCAGAAAAGGAGAAAGCACAGTACTGTGTTTAGCCAGCAAGAGTCTAACAGTCTTATTTTCGCCTCACCCAGGACGGGAGAAGTAATTTTGAGAACTAAAACAACAAAAAACCTAACGGAAGAGTCTCATATAAATTGACGAATCCGCTGGTTTCTGAGCCATTCCAATTATGAAACAGTATTTCATTAAATCGAATTCCATTTTCTAAATAAAACAATGAACAAGGAACGTTCATTCCACGATTTTGTAATTAAATTGTGAAACCGATTCGAACCAAACATTCGCGTTCCATTCAAATAATTAAATTGATGTTGACTTTTGTTAGTCATTATTCGTTCAATATTTTGTAGAGCTACGATCTGGGTGCCTAGAGGAGTACTAATTGGTTGAGAGATTATCGTATATTTATATTATATTGGTACTTCAATAAAGATTATGTCAAGCTCAGCACCAATGTGTCCTACAGACGGGGCCCTATAGGGCTGATGTTTAACCGAAGTTGAGGATGAAGCGCAATGAGTCACCGCAACCTCAGCCCAGAGCAGGAAAAGGAACGGGGGAGTTTTTAGTCAGTAAAAGTCTGACACTCTCTCTCGCCTCTGGGCGGGAGAAGTCAATTGACGATTTTCACCTGACAAGAAAAACCACCATTGTGTCGGCGTGACTTGATTAAAACAACGGCCAACTACCGGCGTAAAACAATAATAGCGTTGTATTTCGCCGTGAGAATAACGATACCAGAGGCCTAACGTTTCCCCTCTTCCATCCCTTCTCAATGCCTAAATCTAAATACACGTAGGACCGGCAACGCTCTCCTATTTATTCAGATAATCGTGAAAAAAATGGTCGATAAAACGTAGACGATTAATGTGGCGATTTAGAACAAGTAATATTTATTTGTCGCTTTGTACCGGTCCCAATATCGACCCAATTCTTTCGTGAATAATCCATTTTAATTAGAGTACTTATTTACACGCACTTACCTATTACAAATACACGCTATTACATCATGCTAGGTATGTATTATTCATAATTATATTTTATTACAAGCCCATAAATGCCCACTGCTGAGTAAAGGCCACTTCTAACACGGAGAAGAAAACGAATCACTATGCTTGCTCACGGCGTATTGGCGATTTCAGACATATGTAAAATAAGAAATTTTAAATCCATCTTTTGGTAGTTGTGTCAAAAATAAACTTAAAAAGTATGGTATAACTTGAAAAAGTCACATTGGTATTTGCCGGGTTTCGAAACTCATTGAATGAATTTTCTTAACGTTTATTAATTTAGTTCTCTTATGTTACAGATTGCTGGTATTGGGCATGTAAACTCCTTTGGATTAATTTATAATGATTTTATTAATGAGACAAAATCTACGGCTAAGTCGTTGACTTCTGCACATGGAGTATTCGCTATCATGCTGGCTATTGGAGGCGAGTTTCTCATATTTTCCTATATGTCTTTTTATAAAACTTATTAATTATTACATAATATATTAGTTATTACTGACGGGGTTTGAAATCAAGTACAATGATCCTTCAAATTAATAAACAAAAGAATAAAGGTACATCGTACTATACCACGTTTTGGTTATACCGCCTGACACTTCCTCTCGCCTCACGCTGAGCGGGAGAAGTCATTTGATGATTATTTGAAATATTATGTCCAAGTTTTCCTGCAGGTCAATAACGTTTACTCCTAAGGAGAATTTGTTAAATCAGAAAAAAGTTTATGCATTAATTGTAGACAACACCTTCTGAGTTTTATTTTTATTTATTTCAGGTATAATACTCAACATTATTGCAAAGAAATATTCGCTAAGAACAGGAGGGTTGATAGGAGCAGTATTATTGTGTTCAGGATCATTCAGCACCATTTTTATAACGAACACCAACCAACTACCGATAACATTTGGAGTCTTCCAAGGGATTGGTTTCGGCATAATGGTGCCAGTTTGCTACTCGACCTTGAACTATTACTTCGTGAGGAAAAGAACAACAGTGATGAGCATTTGTAAGGCCATACAGGGGGTGTTACTGATGTGGTATCCACAACTTATCAAGAAGATAATGTCAGTTTATGGCTTCAGAGAAACCTTATTCCTTTTAGCTGGAATGTCCCTACACACCTTTCCAGGAATGCTAGCAATGATCACTGACACGAAAAAACCAAGAAACATAATAAGAACAGCAAGTATTTTTTCGTTTGAGCTTTGAATTTTTTTATGACGAATTTGTTTATGAAATTGAATTTCATTAAATATTTACAGATGATCTAGAAAATGGGAAACAATGTGAGAATGAAGATTTATTACTTTCTAAAGACAATGGGGATTTGAAGGAAGATCGTAATAAAAGTGTAATGGTTCTGGAGAAAATTAGGTGAGATTACTTTGAGTACTTGTTTGGATAGCATGTCCTTGAACGTCGTAGTCTTGTGAACAATACTGTTAATATATTACGATTGAGATGCTTTCTTGATAAATATAAGTAACCCTACTGAGCCTTTTATATTTGTTCTGTGACTTGTATTGTATTCTTTTATACATATACACTACCTATATAATTATTTGTTATGATTAATGAAAAATTGTGCAAAATAATTGCGTACAATTCCACGGTCGATAAATACATTTTCGTCTCACATAGATACTTACAGATTTTCCCCCCTCCCCCATGGAGAGTCTCACGACCCGAAGAGACTGAAATCTTCAGGGGTGTTACCTATTGATTGATGTAAAAAGATTGATTAAGTTCAGAGGATATTGTGACCTATTTGATACGTGAGCTGACCAATGGTTACAAAATATATGGCTTCTACTCTTACTATGTAACTTACAATCAACTAACTATGCAGACTGTAAATATATGAGACTAACACCCGGTTTCCGAAAGGCCAATCAATGTTAAAAACAATTTAATCTCTTGTCAAGTCATCTGATTGGTTGACTGAATTATCAACAACCAATCAGATCACTTGACAAGAGATTTGACACCTAGTTAGTTGATTTTAACATTAATTGAGCTTTCCGAAACCGGGCATTAGTCTAGAAAAAGGTTCTGTTGCATTCAAAATACATTTTAAGATCAGTCTATCAATGTGTGAAATGCAATGTCATGCTCAACCCTAGAATCAGAAAGCCAAACCTTTTACAGGCTCTGCGTTTGTTTCATTTTACAGGCAGAAGGTTGTAGAAATATTGAACTTCAAAATATTGAAAGATGCCGTCTACTGCAATATCTGTCTTGGACAAAGTTTCGTCAACTTTTCCGATCTCACTTTCTTCATACTGCAACCGATGCTGTTGTTTCAATATGGATATGATAGGGTAAGTTGTATTTTTCTGAACAATGAAAGTTGTTATTTGAATGCCATTTTTCATTTCAATGTCGCCTTCATATTGTAGTTAATTTCTCGTAAAAATATAATAAAATTGTTTATAAAAATTACATTCCATATTGAAATGTTTTGAAATTCTGAAATAGGATCTAAGAGTTATACCATTGTTATACCTACAACTTTTTAGTAGCCACAATACCAAGGACTACTTTCTAGACATTTTTTTTTCTTTAATTATTTGGATACTGAATTTCCGAAACTATAATACTCGCAATATACCTAAAAATAAAGAAGTGTTGAAAGTACCAAACCCAAAAATAAAATCGCGATTTAAATAAGCCTTAGAACAACACACAATATGTGTATATGTTTATAAAGATAGCACATAAATAGACAAGGATGGAAATAAAATTTAAGTAATAAATAAATATACATATTTAAAATTTGCTGAGTCATCATCATTCATTGTCACGTGTGACAATGAATAGTTCTGTTATTGTCTGAAGATTAGATACGTGGAATCTTTTGGATGTAGTTTATCAAATGACAATAATACTAATGTCATTTGATATTAAGGGGCAAACACAGGGTGTGGTACGAGTCAGTCGTCATCACAGTCGTCCGAAGTCAAAGCAAAAATCTAAAACTATGTATCGTCACGCCTATATACGGAAATACTTCCACATATACAATTATTTACACCTACTTTTACCAGTTGTTCTATATAAAGCACGTCGATTCTATAAAATTTGTATGATTTTGAATCGTATTCGAGTGCGAAGTGAGCGTCGAAGTGACGGGTAAATTAAATTTTAGAATGCCACTTTTAACGTCATTTCATACTTTATCTTTCAAAATGATGCTGTCAATTTAGTTCAACTCACAAGTGTAGCGCTAGTGTACTACTACTCACGGCGGATTCAGGTTCGAAGTTTAGAATGAAGTCTTACAGAATCACACACCTGGCCACAATAACAGACAGAATATACGATGACACCAATATTAGTTCGCCTGACCTCGAATTAACGTCGATTCCACAATAATCTACTATATTTAGGGATTTCAAGGCAAGCGTCAATAGGCATTTTTTGAGTTTTCATGGTCCACTTTAGGCCCCATCCTTGCTTTTCATCAGGCATGATAGACGTCAAACGCTCTCAAATAACCAATAATAAAAATCCTACATTCGTATAAATTTATTTGTGTGACAACGATTTTAATGTCGTTAAAATATGTTGCCTTTAAAATAATAATATCCAGACTGATATTATAATGCCTATTGTCTTCATGCCTTTTAAGTTTGAATTCAAATACACAAGATCCTTAAGATAATACTGGAAACCGAGGAGAAACTGGGTTTGATGTCAAGCCATAAAATACAGTCCATACGCTGCTTCAACTGGATTATTAACCTATTCAGTAAACTTATCCTTAAAGTAATTTGCATAAAGATATCATTTAGTTCCTAACTTAACCCAGAGATACCGACGAAGGACATTTGGCTGGTTCCTATAAAATAGGAATCGGGTTTATCATTCGCCCAGATAAACCCTTTTGTGACCTAAGATATTTTTGTTATAATTTTTGAAGTTGTAATAACCAACATTATTTATCTTACTTGTAATCAAATATCAATGCATCTCAATAGTATTAGAGTTTTTTTTTCATTTCTTAGTTATCGGTCAGACTTGAAAATAGGTACCAATTTTAGTTAGGATGTGATACTTTAATTCTACAATTTTCTTCTCTAATAGTGGAGTTTATTAGAAAAATACATATTCCAAACCAAAGATCTACATACATGTACAGATTTCTAACCACTAAAGCAATTCAGTACAATGTCTTTTTAATTCTTGTTACAGACGCAAGTAGCGATGTGTATCTCTATCTGCGCGGCTGCAGACGTCGGTGGAAGGTTTGCCCTGGCCATCATCAGCAGCATTTTCCATATCAACACAAGAATACTGTTCTACTTAGCAACACTCCTCACCTTCCTTATCAGATTGCGTATGAATATATTTGTCTATCACCATATCCTTATCATATTTGCTGTTTTGCAGCAATAAACGCTATCAGGAAGAGATATCTTTCTTTGTTCGAAGTTTAATCAGTCTGTTGGTTGATCTCTAAGTAAATGTTTTCGTGTTAAAATTTGCCAAATGACCTTGATGGAATGATGCATGAACAGCCTATGAGCTTAGTTGAAACCCTGACATAGAAGTCTAAATAGGAAGAATTGAAAATAAAAATAGTGAAAAGTACATCGGCTTCTGTCTGGACCGATTAACTTTTCGGTGATATACTAATGAGATTTGAGTCTCTCTGTCTTTTTACTTTCGCAAGATTTGGTATTTCGTTTTCAAATATATGCATTTTTAGAAAATCTATTACTTCAAACCCTAAACTGAGACTAATTTCCTTAACTGTGAATTTCATCATTTCAATGTCCTTTCAAATAAGAGGCTGATCTTCATTTTCTTTTACAGTCATGTTACAGATCACCCAGTTCGTCTGGATGGCGACAGTCACTGGTGCTTTAGGAGTTCTCAGAGCCTGGCTGCATGTAGCCAGTCCACTGCTAGTTTCCAATCATGTGTCTCATGAAGACTTTCCTGGAGCTTACGCAGTATACATGCTTGCAGCTGGCACTGTCAATGTTACTTTTTCACCAATAATAGGTAAGATGTTGATAAAAAAAGTGATAATTCGAAACAAAATTATTATTATTCTTATTGAATTGGCTTTTATCTGTATTAGTACATTGGCCAATTAAAATACAACATAAATAAATAAATATCATAATGTACGTAATTCTCTGGAGGATGGGGAATAATACCAAATTTTCGACAAGTAATACTACGAGATCTAATATAATGCTTTTGTTTGCAATTGCAGTATTCGGGTTATACGGGTACTAACTTTGGGTGTAACTGACAGATAAGCAAGTTGTAAAAAAGTTAATAAAAATCTTTAGAATCTTTATTTGTGTAGAAGGATCTTGTACTATAGCAATGCTTGAGAAAAACAATTAAAAGAAAAGCAAGCTACAACAGTTTTAAAATGATATTGATACCGTTTTGTAGAAGGAAAATAATTAAAAACAGTGTCAAAGCAACTTCCAAGAATAAAAGCACTATAAAGAAGCTTTCTGTAGATTTAATTACGTGTTGCTACGTGTAAGTTTTAAGCTTGGAGAAGTCAATTTTCTTTTAAGAAGTCATGGAAGTGAAATCGCTTTTCTAAAGAATAACTTACACGTTTTTTTTATTTAATAGGTCGGCAAACGAGCAGACGGATAACCTGATGGTAAGCAATCAGCGCCTCCCATGGACACTCGCAACGGAGGAGTTACGAGTGCGTTGCCGACCTTTTAGGGATTAGGGATTTGGAGATTTAGGGATTTAGGACTGGGGGAGGAGAAGGATTGAGCCTCCGGTAACCTCACTCACACGGCGAAACACAACGCTGTGGTTATTTCACGCCGGTTTTCTGTGAGGCCGTGGTATCACTCCGGTCGAGCCGACCTATTCGTGCCGAAGCATGGCTCTCCCACACTTATGTACACACACGTATTTAGATACCTACAGATTAAGTAAAGGAAAAGTGTAGTGATGGGTAGGACCGGCCATCGTACCTTAGTTTTGAAAAATTAAAAAAACGGCGGCACTATTTAACTGCATACGAAAAAAAAGTGCAAAATAACTAGTCAAATTTGCTGATAGGTCACCCACCTAATGATAGCTTAAGCGTCGATGCTTCAAGTCAATAATCTTCTTTTCGGAAGTTGGTTAAAAAATGTAAATATGATGAGGTTTTTGCCCTCATTAATGTTGACAATACTGTAATCCTTGATTTTCTATTCATAAACAAAGCTAGATTAAGATAACATAACACTGATATTTTTATAATCCTTCACTAAAATCATTAACCGATATTTTTATATCTTAGGTAATTTTCCAATTGATAAAATGGACAAAAATAAACCATAATTTATTTTATCAATGGATAATACTAATCTTTATACTTTTATTTATAATATATACTAGAGTCCCTACACATTTAGGCTGATACAATATTTCTTCATTTAATGATTTATACTCAAAAACCTCCGTCTCCAATCACTTTTTCTAATTAAAAAAAACGCATCTAATTCCATTACGTAGATTCAAAGGTTAAAGAGAGATATAGGGACTGAGATTTTTTTTATATTACTACTCTCGTGGTTTCACCCGTTGCTTGGCTCTTAATGATTGTCAATTCTAACGCGTTCTTGAAATTAGCACGTTCAAACAAGCTGTCTTCAGGTTATAATATTATAAAGTGTAGATTTTATAGTGATGTTCTATTAAACGTGTCACTACCTAAACCCATCGCTAGTGTATCTAACCTGAAGCGAATTTTGTATTTGGAGTAAAGCCGAGGTACTAAGGGTGACAAAAATGCATGGAGAGCTTAAGGTCGACTATTGACTGACAGGTTTTGCATAACGCTACCATTGATAACTAGATGGAGCTGCTTTTAAATGAAAATAACCCTGCAAAGCTTGAATACTTTACACTGCAGAGGCACACAATAAGGTTTTTAATGGTTAAAATAATAATTAAGAAACAATCATATATTTATATTCAAATACACATAAATTATGTTAATTTTCACATTTCCGAGGACTTAATATAGCGCCATCTAAGTCAAGTCAAGCAAACCAATTAAAAGATGGCGTCAATAATTAATAATAGACAATAATAAAAGTTATAAACTAACCCGCATTTTCGACATCATTAAAAATGCGATCGGTAGCTCGGATAAATAAGAATGATAGTATAACGAAGTCGAAGGGCACCGGTTCAATTCCGGGTTATCATTTTTAAATTCAGGTTTTTTAACAATGGTTTTTTTTTATATTTTTTATATAAAATCAATAATATTAATATGAAAATAAAATATTTGACGTTTAATATTTATAAAAGATAACAAAAATAAATAAATATATTATTTTAGAATAAAATTATATTAATAAATATACATCAATAACTATTATAATATGTGCTAACTATTAATGTAAAAGTAACATATTTTTCTTACAGATTAAGACAACAGGATAACAAATAAAACTATTTTAGTGACATTATAATTTCAGACATTTATTTCTTAAAACATAATATTTATTTCTTTCTTATACAGTGTATACCCTTACCTAATAACTTTTCAGCTAACTGACACATTATTTATTACACTTTTTATAAGATTAATAAGTATTTTAAATCAAAATTGTGTTGTGCTAGTCATTTATTAGTTAGTTTTAAACACAATGTTATAATACGATTCTATATAATATGCAACCTTACTTCTGCAACTATTTTACCTCCCCATAAAATTTAATTAAAGTATTGACTAAAGTGATTCATTTTGTGCATCATGTTATGACAAAAGCTCATAGCTTAAGTATTCGTTCCAGAACAAGGAAGAAATTGAAGCTAGACCTTAAATCAATAACATTTCTAAGACCGGAATATAGCATTCACTAGATACGGGACGAATTGTTCATAGTAATTAATAAATAAATAATTTATTATTTTGCAATCAATAGCATCTGTAAATATTAATATTGCTTTTATTTTTATTTCTCATATTTAGTAAAACATTAAAATCATTACTGTATAACAGTTGCTGGTTATAAAGTAGTCAATAAATTTATCCTACTAACACTAACTTTGAACATTTATCCATTAAATAAATTATAGCTACCCCGGTCTTGTAATTGCTTAATCCTATAGTCAACAAAGTCTTTTCTTTTAAGAACTAGTGTAGCCGCCATTTTTATCGATCCTATTTCTCCTATCTCGCTGGCCAAGGAATAATCCGTATGTCTGATTGCTGACTAAACACTTGCACAATTATGGAACATTACACATAGGACAATTGTCCTGCACGAACGTTATCACTAGCACATCTTCATGACGTCATTCAGCACATCTATGTAGTTTTCACTGTTTGCATCACTGAAGATGACAATGCTCCAGTAATTTTCCTCATAACCTTGCCCCATAAGTTGAAACTGGTCTGAGTCAATATCACGTCTTCTGCCAGATCCACTACGGTGCTCCAATGAACCCTCTTCTTGAAACAGCTTTAGATATCCATAAAGTGGCAGTCTTTACCTGTAAGGGACGTGTATTATTTATTATTTTCATGTATCGATAACCATGGATAATAAAATAAATAACAAACGGTCATTTATAAGAATACTTACGTTTAAGCCAGTTTCTCTAGAAATTCCAGTATAATTTAAGCTTTGATTATGCAATGCTATTATTTGGGCCCTCGTAGCCATATCAACATTTGAACGCAAATTCATAATAAAAATAAATATTAAAAACTTGTTAAACAAATCGTGACTGAACTCACTCAAAGATAGTAAAGAATGTTATGATTGAACAAAAAGGTTTAATTTTTATACAGTTAATTCTAAATTACCCTCAACTGTTTTGAGATTTATGATCGGGTTATAGTTGCTAAACAACTTCAATATAATAAAGAGTAGGATAATTTCAATACATTTCAAGGTTACGTAATGGCCTAATGGCTAGTGGCATCGGTTAATTTTATGCTACCGAGTTCGAATCCTGGTTATTGCGTGCTTTGCTTTAAAAAGGTTTGGAATATCGTAGCATTAATTTGTATAAAAATTTATTAAGTTGATAACTTTGTATCTGATAAAAACTATAAATGTATATTTTTCAATACCACTAGTATACTAGCGCCATCTATGTCGTCCATGGTATATACTTAGTCGGGTCATAAGTTCTGTCAAAACCTTATATTTTTAATTTTCGATTACTGGCCAGAAATTCTTCGACTTATTTTAAAAATAGAACTTTCGCGCTTGTAGAAAATAAAAAAGAAATTATTTTTTATTCATTTTTAAATATGGAGTGGTCGAATAAAGAAGACAGAATCGCGGTTATCGCGTTGCACCGCTGTGGTTACGCGCCAAAAGACATTTTCAATATTCTTCAAAATTTGAAAATAACGTTACGGTTTGTTTATCGTACTATCAAACGATACACCGAAGAGTCAAGCTTCGAAGATCGTAAGAGAAGCGGCCGACCTCGCACAGTTCGGACACATAAGGTCATCAAAGCAGTGAAGGCGCGAATCGAACGAAATCCCGTACGTAAACAAAAAATCCTAGCTCTGCAGATGGGGCTAAGCAGAACCACTGTTAAAAGAGTACTAAATGAAGACCTGGGACTACGAGCTTATCGTAAAAAGACAGGACATTTTTTGAACGAGCGTTTAAAAAAAATTAGGCTAGACAGATCCCGCGCTTTGCTACGACGGTACGCGGGAAAAAAATACCGCGAAATTCTTTTTTCGGATGAAAAAATTTTTACTATTGAAGAAAGTTTTAACAAACAAAATGATAAGGTGTATGCCCACAGCAGTGAAGAAGCAAGCGCGCGTATTGCGAGGGTCCAGCGTGGGCATTACCCTTCCTCATTCATGGTTTGGCTTGGAGTCTCATATTCAGGCGTAACTGAGGTGTTTTTCTGTGAAAAAGGTGTGAGAACTAGTGCCGAAGTTTATCAAAATACTGTCCTAACAAACATAGTGGAACCTCTTTCTCAGACAATGTTCAGGAACAGGCATTGGATATTCCAACAGGACTCTGCACCGGCTCATAAGGCACGAAGTACGCAAGACTGGTTGATCGCTCGTGGAATTGACTTCATCCGGCATGAAGACTGGCCCTCTTCTAGTCCAGATTTAAACCCACTGGACTACAAGATATGGCAATATTTGGAGGAAAAAGTCTGTGCTAAACCTCACCCGAATTTGGAGTCTCTCCGAGCATCTCTGGTTAAAGCAGCGGCAGACATAGATATGAATGTGGTGCGTGCAGCGATCGATGACTGGCCGCGTAGATTAAGGGCATGTGTTCAAAATGGGGGAGGGCATTTCGAATAATGTAAATAAAATTATATTGTACATTTAATGACCTTTCATTTCATATATAATTTTTAAATAATTGTCAAAAGGCGTATAAGTTATTACATCAAAAGTTTGTGACAGAACTTATGACCCGACTAAGTAATTAAGGCGATGAAACGCCGTACAAACGATTTTGATTTAGAATCATCCATGCACTTATGACACTGATAGTATGTTCAAATCAGTTTAAATTTTATAGTTGTAATTTTTGTTTCTTTTTTTTTCAGGATTATTGAAAGATGTTTACCAAGACTACGTTCCAGCGTTCTATGCTTTAACTTTGTGCTGTATTCCTTGCCTCTTATTCTGGCCTATTGAGTATGTTATTAAAACGAAATAAATATTCAGTAATGTACCTATAGATTCTTTATTCAAATATATTTAGATAATAATTGTAAAATCAATGTATATTTTGACGTTAAGTGTTACTATGTTAATAATTGAACAATATTTGCGACAGTTGCTGATTTTATTAACAGGACCTAAAGCATCACTACTATCTACCGAATATAATATCGAAAACCACTTACAAATATTTGTAATCAAAATGTCAAAACCAACGCGTACAATGTGTACGGAATATTATTAAGTGGAAAACAGCTTCCAAATATTTATTTTAATTAATAATACTTATTTTAATAAAATTAAAATGTTATACTAAGTTAATAAAATTACGTGTAAGTAAATATTTATTGTTCTTTGTTTAGTAATAAAAACTTTAAAAATATCTTGATTTGTTTACTTACTGTGGCATAGGTACTTAATGAGTATTCTTGGTTGTGCGTGACCAATCTGTTTGTATAAAGAATTTTTTACTGTGTACCCAGTTATCGATTAACAAAGTCTAGAAAGTTATAAATAGGAAAAGCTACACAATTCAGGACTCAATATTGTGTAGTACATAAGGTGAGACATGTTAATGTTTGTATTGAAAATTAGTTAAAGTACTACTAATTTGAAGTTCAGCTTTAATTATTTCTTAATACATTAAACGCCATGTTAGAAAAGTACTATTAGAATAATTAATATATGTATAATATTAAGTATATATAACTAAAAAAAATATTAGTTATACAAATTCGAAAATAAAGATTGACTGTGCAGTCCGTTGCTAATAAAAACTATCCACAGCAGAAGCGCACCGCTAGAACTGTAAATAAATTTCAAAATTTTCGATTTATGCACAACCGGTGTGATGATTATTATCCATGTATGTGACAACCATAATTAGGCTTCAGAAAAAGCAAAAAAAAAACAATTTCTTCATTTGAAAACCGGGACCGAACACCTTTTTGCACTCAACGGAGCGTAGGGTTGAAACTCTGCCAACTGCCAAACAACAGACTATATTCAACGAATACTTTCGTAGTTTTGGGTAAGTACAATCGGAATTGAAAGTTGTCATTGTACAATTTATTATCACGTGATAAACCGTAGTAAACTTTAGTAGTCAAAAAACTCACGAAAAATGGTTTGAACAATTTTTTTTTTTTTTTTTTGAAAATATTCTTGTAGCGTACAAAATATACCTGACAAACAACGTAACTCAACAAAATATTTCAGAAGGCTTAGAAAATGATTTAATTTTACATTTTATTAGAAATACCAAGGGCAAAATTATTGCAGAAACAAAAAAACTTTACATTACCAAACCTTCTAATAACCTATTTCGAACTTGTGATAAGGCTGAATAATTCAAACTACGTACACTAACGACTAATTGAAAAAAAAAATATGAAACTCGATACTTCCAGTGATGACGCCGAAAACTACCACAAAAACTTCGACTGGATTCGTCGCTTTATATCAATTTACTTACGAAGTTCTAACAAAAATAGTCAAGTAAAATATATCAGGCGATTTTTCAGTATTAGGTACCTCAGAATTACATGGGGCCCTTTAAAGAGCCCTCATTATTAACCCTTGACTTACGGGGAGGAGGGGCTTTTTATACCTGCCTTCAACCAACCTTAGACCGCATCAATCTTTTCAACGCTTTCTTATTACCCCTTTTTTGTATCTAATCGGTTTTAAACGTGCGAGGGTTGGAGGAAAACGAGTATGATCGGTGGGTTTCGTTTTCTATATTTGGAATTCTCGTGAGTCGTTTTTAATGTTTACCGGTATACTACTACCAGTATACTTAAAGGTAGCGTGGCTTGATAGATTCTGGTTTATCGACTATTATCTACAAAGTATATATGAGATTTTGAAGTCAGAAATAATCGGTCTCGTGGGCTCGATTCCCGAACGGAACCATTCTTTGTGCGATCCATACATTGTTGTTTCGTGTCTAAGTGTTATATGTATATTTTATTAGACCTCTTTCCTTTTTCATTTTAAATTAAGTACATGTTTCATCTTTTCATTTTCACCTTCATGTAAGTACGTTTTAAAAAACGTATTTGCATATACTCAACATATCGCGTTCTTATTTCAAATTTATCTAGTACATACTGGTCACCAGACATTGTAAGAACTCCAAGACTATGCTTATAATGAGCTGTACCTACCTTACTGATTCTAATTCACGCAGCTTAAGTCGACTTAAGGCACAAATTCCGAAACTGCAATTGCATTTCAAAAGTCAGAATGCCAGCATTATTCAAATCTTTTGCATAAAACAACCCGTTCCGGTACATAATTGACTAGCTAAGCGGATTATCGGCACATCTTGAAATGCATGGCTATCAGCTAAAAGGGGACCAGTAAAATTTATTCATAGCATCCCGACAACGAAGTTAGCTCTGCATCAGATTGGAGTCAGTATGCAATCAGCTTTTATTTTAGTAAAACGTTATGTGGAATAAAAAATAGTCACTACCTATATATTGCATAAACTCGTGTCAACTTATTCCTTAAACAACACACAATATGATATGCAGTGCCAAAAATATTTACCCCATGCGTTACTTCAGATTATATCCTTGAGCCAAATTCTATTTAAATCCGTTCAGTAATTTTTAAGTTAACGATAATAACAACATCCATGCATTCGCTTTTCTAATGTCAGTTGATATTAGGGATAAGATTATGTTGTCTGCTGCAAATAATGTTATGGATAAGCCTATTAAAGGCTCAAAACCAGAAACTAGGACTAAAAGCGAATATATAAAGCGAAAACATCTTGAGAAACTTGGAAATAAAATTTCTAATGTCAAGTTTGAAATCGCCAATCTGTGCGACCTCCTCCGTGAGAGAAGAGGCCTTTGTTCAGCAGTTGGCTCTTACAAACTGATAATTTGATATAGGTGACCCACCTCGTTATCCGGTTTCCTCTACTTGCAATATTAAAACAAAATATAATAATACACATACATGAATTATGTAGATTTTATGTTTTAGTTACAGATTAACACAAACACATTATCGTTATTCGGTTCGACTATTTTCCATTATTTCGAATCGGATTTACTCGCAGATGTAAACTTCCAAATAGGTTGGCCTATTATACTAAACTAATATTCCGGATTATGTTAGGGAAGAGCCTTAATAATATCCATTGTTATTATGGTTTTAACTGATATGAAACATCTCATGTAAAGCGATATTATTTATATTTTTAATAAGTATATGGAGATAAGGAATATATACAGTACCTTTTTGTTAAAAAAGTCTGCTAATGTTATTTACATCTATTTATAATAATCTTGCTGCAAGGCAGAGGTTTTGGCTCACAAAGAGAAGATACTATGAGCACCAATCTCTCAAGGCAGCTTGGCTACCAATGATATAAGATAGAACAAGAATATTTATTCCCGTGAAAAGCTATTTGATAATCTGCGCCCCCCTCTACCGCTCCCAAAAGTATTTTGTTGTTTTTGTGATGAAAACGCACTCCTTATTTAATGGGTCTCATAATATAAATAGTGAACAGTGTCTGTGTGACATAATGTACACCTCTACCGACTCTTTTAGAGATGAAAGGCGTATAATATAATTAAGAATATATTTGTGTGAACGCCTTCTATTCACATGAAGTATTTATTTTCAGTTATAATATTAAATACTGCTACTAAAATACTTACGTTTATACCTAGTATATACATACACACACGAAAATAAATAAAAAAACCACGTGGGTGGAACCCCAAGAAAGCGCTATACTAATCCATAAAGATGGAATTTCAAACCACTATACTTAATAATTCTGTAATAAAAACAACAAAAATATTCTTATTTATTTCCAGCATCATTTATTTGCCACAAACACTTGACATTTGATACCTATTTCTGTGTTGCGACAAATGAGAATTGACATAGGTTGGGTAGGAAATATAAATATAATAACATTTTTCGTTAAACGTTTGGAAATGTTTTTGGGACCGAAATGACGAGAATGGGAAGAGAAATCCGTCAAAGGTCAAATTATAATTGTTGTTGTTATGAGAACGAATATTATTTTCGGAGACGGTTAAAAGTGCTTTATCACGATTCAGGACATTCTAAAGACTAACCGTTCATCACTTTTTATAGCACAGGTTTTTTTTTGTATAGGAAAAATCATCAAATCACTTCTCCCTCCAGGGCAGGCGAGAGAGAGTGTGGCTCTTACTGACTAGCCCCCCCCCCCTTTTCCTTCTCTATCTTTAGGCCGCGTTGCCACAATGCACCTACCCCGCAAACCCGGTCCTGCTGAACATCAGCTCTGTAGAGTCCCGTCTGTGGTGGTCTATTAGTTAATTGAGGAACTCACGGAACGCTATGCGTATGTGTGTGTGTGTATGCTCGGGTCTGGTTCTGGTCGTCCGCAGACCCGCCTTTGGTGGCTTAATATTAAAACACAGGGTGATTTAATACCCTTAGTTAGGTTATCACTTTAGGTCATTTGGCCTTATCACGGCTCATAATTACTTATATTATGAAGCAATAAATGAGCTGTAGGATCACCTGATTTTTTTTTTTTTTTTTTTTTTTTTGTGAGGGGAAAATCATCAAATGACTTCTCCCGCCCAGGGCCGGGCAGGAGGGAGTGTCAGACTCTTACTGACTAAAAACCCCCCTGTTCCTTCTCCTGCTCTGTGCCGAGGTCGCGGTACCTTATTGCGCTTACCCCGCAACCCCGGCTGAACATCAGCCCTTTAGGGCCCCGTCTGTGGTGGTCTATTGGCTCTTTGAGGCGCGCGCGGAACGCTACGCGCCGTACGCTCGGGCCTGGTTCTGGTCGGGCGGCGAGCTGCCCTTACTCGCCGACCGCAGGCCCGTACTTACGGTGGCCGGAGATCGTCCCTCGATCCCCGACGCCCGTAGTGTCGCCAGTTGCGGCTGCTGGGGCGTGAGGAGGAGGATTGCTCCCTCACGCGGGCCGCCTCTCTCTTTGCGAGCATGACTGCTTCACAAAAGGAGGAGACGGCGTCCCAGTTCCTCTCACTCCGCACCATGGCCTCGACTAAGGCCGGGCGCGAGAGGTCGCCGCCGCCGATCACTTCCCTGAGGATACGGCGGTGCTCAGCCCAGGCAGGGC